AAAGCGCATGCGCCATACATTAATGCATAATGCCGTTATCAATACTAGTATCATTGACGGGCAGCAGCTAGCTCCGCAATTTGGCTGTATCGTTCGACTAGAGGAGGCCCGTAAAAGTTGACAAAATGTGATATGGTATATTTGTGATAGACGGGAAACAACTGCAGCAGCCAACTTCCAATGCAATTTGAATAGAACTACTTTCTCTAAGCGAAACTTCGTCAACACGAGAGGTCGTCAACAGACTTCAAAGTGTTAAATATGACCTTCCAATCAATTCAGGTCCGATTTTGATCCTGAAAGTTGTTTTGCCCGCTCTATCTGAGTAATTCATTTCAACAACCGAGCTATGGTTCACTTTCTATAAGCACTAATAATCTAACGGAAGTAATCAATAATCGACCAGTATCAAAAATTTGACGTACCCTCTCGTAATCCTCCTTGTGATGGGCTTTCAAATGCATCTTGAGATTAGTGCTAAACGCCGAACCGGTACGGAAACTGCAGTTAATACAGCCAACCATCTAAAATGAACTGGTTCTTTACATTTCCCCAGGAGCGTTCGTAAAATTCTTTCCGTGATTGCCCTCATGTTTACGGTAATCGTTTCCATTTGTGATCAATTCCATTCGTCTGAGATTGCGCTCAGTAAGTAATGAAGTTCAGTGAAGAAGTCATCCGTTTTACCCTACTAGAAGTTCATCGCTCATGAGCCGACCTCTTGTTGGATTGCCAACATGGGTACAGGACACGAGAAAGGATTTGAGCTACGGATTGGACGTTCTCCTAGTCCGGCGGTTTGAACTTATTCGCGAACATGTTGCGTGTTTACGAATCTGGATAAGATCAAGAACTGTTCACATAGAAACTGGTCAACCGTCGTTCATGGTCATGGTCCCACTTTGGTGTCCTTACTAGATGGAGGAAATGGTGAGGAGAGTCCTTCATGGTGCCACTTTGGTTCTTTACTGAAGAGGAAAATGATGGGAATGTTGAGGAAACCTATGCGGCACTAGGTTGGATATAGCTGCGATTTCATCATATTGAGAGTTCCCCACTTTTATCCACTTCGCGTCGCCTTCCATGGTTTTATGTATATGAGTCCACTTATGTCATGAAATCTTGAATGATGCATTCTTGGCCAGAATGAGGATTGTCTGAGAAAAAAAATTGCGGAAAAGTGGCAGAAAGTTTGGAAAATCATCAAAATGGTAGGGAGGGTGGATCATCGGATAGGGAGGGAGGGTCCTAGCAAAAAAATTCCCGATGGCACGACGTGCCCTGCTAAGGAAGCAACGACCAATAAGACGCTAGGAAGGGGCTCAATTAGGATCTCCACGCCAAAGTGACCAATGAGTTATTTTGAACTGCTTCTTAGGCTAGCAACCGGAATTCACTAAGGTTTCAGATTCCGTGACACTCAAACCTTAAAATCTCGCAGTAAATTCCATGTGACTGGGCTTACTAAGGCAGCGCAAGACGTCCGTTAGAGTAAAGAATGGAAAAAATTCATGTACTCTGAAGAGTTGTCGCTTTACACTCTGTTTATGACACGCGACTGAAGCTTCGCGTTCCGATTTACTCATCACTTTATCAGCTATCATCAAACAAAAAGAGAACAATGAATGGATTGGTGCTCGTCGCCCTTTAGCGCTTACTGAATGCCACTGAACCGTAGAATTATAAGAGTCCACAATACTCACGCGATCTTCAAGGTCCTTAAAGAACATCCAGACAGGATGTCGACGCAGCCGACGGCGTTTCGGTTGCGGCATGCCGTTTGCATCTGTGCCATGCGGAGCAGACTGCATCTCTGTAACAGCAGCTTTTATCCTATCGAAAATCTGCTCCACGCTGGAGCAGGAGGCATTAAGGGTTCACCTAAATGAGGGTCAACCTTGTGAACAAGGGTAAAAGGTCCACATGTTCGATGCGATTTAACATCCGAAACGTGTATTACATACAACAGTTGAGAATCACCTGTTTCGAGAAACAACCGGCTGGTGAATACCCCCCTCCCGAATAAGCACCTTAGTCCGACTTAACCTTCCCGTAACGATTTATGCCGTCAGCCCGTAGCATCAACATTCATTTCCGAACTCGAGCCTAGTTCTTATGCAGTGCACCGCGCTCTTCATCAACCCTATGCCTCGGACAGAACAATGGTGGGCGGAAGTGGGGCCCACTATTCCGACCTGTTTTTGTGCCATCCACTTACTTGCCCCTCTTGCGATCGTCTGTCTGGCCACATAGGGATGCTACGATTTTTAAAAAAGTTTCGGTCCCAGGGGGTTACTAGTAAACACGTAGATCCGAATGCCTACAACACGCGCTTTCATGGACCTTGTCTTTATGGCTTTACAAGCGTAGTCTTCTCCTTCTCGGGTACTGGAAGGCCAGATTCCTAGTGGTTTCTGGATACTGTGTAGATAGATGTTCAAGGAGTTCGTCGTAAAAAACTAACAAAGAACGCATAGACGGAATAAATGAGTGTCGCCTAGCTCCCCTTTGCTCGTGAACGAAGAAGTTCGAAAATACGGACGCAGTTTGGCTTGGCGGGAGGGGGCACCAAGTAATACTGAGCGAAGCTGTACAGGACTTGTTATGAAGATCTGCAAATTCTTGTAGTTGGGGTGACTCACTTCTGCCATTTCTTAACCTTTCGCAAAAAAAAATAAAGGATCTCACTAAAATAAACTGTTACGTTACACCTTAACTATCAAAAGCAATACGGGAAGAGTGCAAATCGGCCTCTCCAAGCACGTACAGCGCCGAAACACTTTCCGCATAATAAGAACAATCTTCGGACGTTTGAAATAAAGATGCAAGTAACATAATAAAACACAAATAAAACGATCCGAAGTTCTGCTTGTGATACAAAAGAGAGACACAAAAAAATCAGTAAATAGGTAGCGCTCACCTCTCTTGATTGGATTCAGGAAGCCAAAATGACTGGTGAACTGTTCTGGCGTCATTCCTAACAAAGCTGAAACAACTATCGTTAGCTGAAGAAATCTTCGGAATTCTGGTCTCACTGTAAAATTAGCAAACAGGGCCATCACAAGGGAGAAGTTCTAAGAGCTCATAATGAACGATTGCATCGCAATCAGTGACAGTTATCAGAAGACATCGTCCCCCTTGCACCTGACTCAGGCACACACATATATAACGCGAAACCCCTGCACATATCATTGATTTTCTGCGAAAATCGATTAAGGATAGAAATGCGATCAATGTGCAGATATTCTGGGAACTGGAGTGTTAGGGGTAGAATGTTTTCAACTTTCGAGGAGAGCATCGAGAGAAATTGGGAATATTTTCAAGGAAACTTATGAAAGTCGTAGGAATAGGCTGAGACATAAGGCCTTAGCCGTGATACGCGAAAAGTCAAGAGAAGGCTGCGGAAGCTAAAAGGGGGCAGGGGGGAGGGGGAGGGGGGTCAAATGAGAGTGATGGGATTGTGTTTATTTGAAAAGGGTTATATAACGACCTATGAAAGTCGCACAGAACTATAGCGCGAAATGGCAGGCAAGTTTTCCAGAAATCAACTAGGGCGTGAGATCGTTTTCTTACTGAGACGCTTCATGTTTGCCCATAATCAAGTATTCATATCTGAACTTACGTTGTGAAGTGTTGTTCAGCTGATTTCGGGCCATTTGATTCAATGCGGCCAGATTTGCTGCGTTCAGCGTTAAAGGCATTTGTTGCTGTTGATGAGCCTGTTGTTGTTGTTGTTGCTGCTGCTGCTGTTGCTGCTGTGTTGTTGCTGTTGCTGCTGCTGAGCCTGCTGTTGTTGTTGCTGCTTGCTGCTTCTGTTGTGCTTGTGCCTGAACAAAAGGGTTTTATGGAGGCTAGCCCCAAAAGGCTGAGCTCACAAACCTGTAACTGATTCTGCACCTGTTGGAGTTGCTGATTCAGCGTACCGGCAGCAAGTGTTTGTCGCAGCACACTGTTCAGAGGGTTGTCGTCGGCTGCCGATTGACTTGCCACTGAAAGTCTTCGTGATTTGAATGAGCACGTAAGCTTCGACTTCACTATTAATGGCTTAATCCACTTGGACAGCAGTTACAGACGAAATTTCTTTGTGACCTTAGAAGGTACCAGTAATTCTCGACAATCTAGCCCAGCACACGGCGTGCTCGCGATATTGCTGATGAGAGCTGTTTTGGCTTGCCGTTTGGATCTGCTATTGTGCGAGGGCTGTGGGAACTCTAGTCTGAGACGTAATGGGTTTTGTCTTCTATATCTTCTCCAACCCCCACCCCTCCCCATTCAGGAGTGGTCTAGTGCCTCTGGAAAACAGCAGCTAATGGGTGGTGAGCACACGAAGTTGAACTCCAAAGTTTTGGGGGGGATTGTGTGAACGACCAGTTTTTCTCATCGCCATGACATGCCCTTACATCAGCAGGTACGGCTTGCATGTTTCGATGCGTGTGTGGAAAGATTTGTAGAAGCCTTTGAAATCCAAAAGCTAAAGGCTTAAAATGTAGACTAAGAGCTTCTGATCAGGGCACATCATTATTTGGGGATTTTGGTCGATTTCGTACGACCCCCCCCCCCCTTTACAACGTCCGTGAAGCGAGAAAAATCAACTATCAAAATAAATTTTTCTCAGCCCAAATACGACCCCCCCCTGTTGGTGAGTCCCAACAACGATGTGCCCTGCTTCTGATGAGACTGCTGCCACATATGTTCGTCAGGGTTTACACAGATGAATACGTCGCCCACCATGAACGTCTGGCTGTTTGTGTCGACAGCGTTTTTTTTTGTGGTGATGACCACTCGTTTATCTTCCGGAGTCATTTTCACGACTAAACTTCGGATTTCTGATGGTCCTCAAGTGACAGTTTCTTTCTTAGGTGTCCCTCTGCGTTCCCCGCCATTGAAATACTGCTTTCAATTCGATATCATATTGAAATCGGGGCGATCAGATGATCGATGTGATCGAACGAGGCCGGCATGACGACGGCTAGCGCTATGGCGTATACAAAGCAAATATTGAAGCTTTGATACAATATGAAACGATGACTGAGCAAATACGGCACTTGCT